GAGGTTTCAGTCCAAGGTTGCTTGGCCCCATTGTTTTTGGGCCTGTAGTGAGGCAGCGTATCTTGGGGGTAGTATATGGTAGAAAAGCTGATCACCCCATGGCTGGGAAGCAGAAAAGAGAAAAAGAGGGGCTAGGATTCCACTACCCTCTTCAAGAGCATACTTCCCCAAACTGGAAGACCTTCCCTGGGCCCCACCTCTTAAAGTTTCTTCTAGTTCCCAACAACTCAAGCTAGGGACCAAGTTTTTAATACATGGGCTTTTGGGGCAGAAACATTGGAGATACAAACTATAGCATGCTGTTAATATAATAAAGATTTTTTAAAATTTATAATGCCTTAAATTTGAATCCCACTAAGATTTGAGTTTGTTGAGTGACAAGGGCTCCCTATCTCTAAAAATATCTCCACATCAGTGCCTTTAGGACCAGACCTCCCCAGTCCAATCAAAGGTCTATTACTCCTGCCAAAGTAAGAAGCACAAAAGACAACATCAAACAAGGATTTCTAGAGTATGTGCTGGGGAATCATTTCTAAAGGCTGTTCATGGGTTCAAATGGTCCATGGTCAAATATATTTGGGAAATTCTAGATTAAATGAAGTGAAAATGTGTCTGTTTTTAATGTTCAACATTAAAAGCAAATCAATACTACTCTAAAATTTCATCTTACACCAATCAGAATGGCAGTTATCAAGAATACAAGCAACAATAAGTATTGGTGAGAATGTGGGGGGAAAAGGCACACTCATACATTCCTGGTGGGACTGTAAATTGATGCAATCAATCTGGAAAGCAGTATGAAGATTCCTTAGAAAACTTGGAATGGAACCACCATTTGACCTAGCTATCCCACTCCTCACTCTTTACCTTAAAGACTTAAAAACAGCATACTACAGTAATGCAGACACTTCAATGTTTATAGCAACACAATTTACAATTGCTAAACTGTGGAAGCAACCTAGATGCCCTTCAATAGATGAATGAATAAATAAATTGTGGTACATATACATAATGGAATGTTACTCAGCATTAAAAGAAAATAAAATTATGGCATTTGCAGGTAAATTGATGGAGTTGAAGAATATCATGCTAAGTGAAACAAGCCAATCTCAAAAAACAGGGACTAAATGTTTTCTCTAATAAGTGGATGCTAATCCACATTGGGGGTGGGGGGGCGGCCATGGGATAAGTGAAGTAACTTTGGATGGGGCAAAGTGGGGAAGTGGGGGTAAGAAGGACAGTGGAATAAGACGGACGTCATTACCTTAGGTACATGTATGATTGCATGAATGGTGTAACTCAACTTTATGCACAATCAGATAAGTGAAAAATTCTGCTCCATTTGTGTACAATAAATCAAAGAGCTGTCTACTGTCATGTATAACTGATTAGAACTAATAAATAGATAGATAGATAGATAGATAGATAGATAAATGTGTCTTTTTTATAGGAATATCCTTTAAAGGGATATTTCCTAAAACTTTCCAAAAAGGTCAATATCATTTTATGACAGAGTTCCTTCCCAAAGAGCATTGTGAGGAATTAGCATTCCACATAATACATTTTTGGAAACACAAACATCAGTATATTGATTTAGACCCATAAATACTGGTACATGAAGCTGGATCTTGGAATTTAGGTCCTCTACAGAAGGAACTGTTCGTTCTGATTGCGGCTTTCTGTACATTCTGCCTGACATCTGACAGATGATTATGCCTCGATCTTTGGTATGGGCTATTTCTTTATCTTCTGTCTCAAAAGACTTATAAATACGCTGAATTTTGTGATCTCAACCCTGCCAGACCTCATCTATCTGGTTGCTGCTCTACCTTGATAGAACACAAAGGTTTCCTTTCATTAGCTGAGTATGGGCATCATAGTATTCATTCTCGATTTAATCAAACTCCTCAAATAAAAGGTGAGCATGGAGTAGCAATAGTGACATAAAAAAACATCTTGGGCTGGGGATATAGCTCAGTTGGTAGAGTGCTTGCCTCGCATGCACAAGACCCTGGGTTCAATCCCCAGCACCATGAAAAAAAGAAAAGAATAGAAAAGAAAAACATCTCTTACTGACCCAGAACAATAATCATATTAATGAAATATAGTGGAGTTACATTATATGGACATTTATATTATGTGAGGTCAACCTGATGCACTTAATACTCTGGCCCCGGATAGTGAGAAAAATCAGTTTAAGTGAAGGCTATTAGATTCTATGTTAGGAAATGTCATTACTGGAGGCTTCAGATAATTCAAAACTTGCATAATAGAAGATAAATTTTCCAACACTTGACAAAAGAAGGCAGGTATTCTTTGCCATTTGAACTGGCACCACCATGGGCTGTAGCAAAATCATGGTCTTAACAATTTTAAAATTGTGTGATTGTTGATATAAAAATGTCTTTAAAATTCTATTATTACAAATGTTGTCAATCATGTGGGAGTTTGTTAATATTCTTATGTTGCACTCTTTCAAATCTGCACAGTTTTATAAATTGTCACTGTAATGGAATGTGGGTGCTTTCACACACCATCCCACTCCATTTGTACAGTGGATTTCATCTGTTAGGAGATATGACTGCTATTTCTTTCCTTCCTATGTGCCTTTCATAGTAGAAAATATCACTCCATCCTATAAATGCAAAGCAAGTATTTAATTTATCATCACCCAAAGAAACTGAAATCTATTGAATTTTGTGAAATGGCTGCACAACAATTTGTTATGTTATTGAAGGTTGTTCTGTCATTCTCCAAAATGTAATGTAGTTTTAAGGGACTTCAAAGGTAATTTTGAATATTCTTCTCTTTATGTGCCAATTTTAGAACTTGCCTTCTACATAATATATGACTGTACTTGAAGATAATGGGTATTACTAATTGTCAACCCAGTATCCATTACTTACTTCTTTTTCCCTAACAAACCCCTATTATATTCAAGGGTGACTCTTCACATGACTAACAGGAAGAGGACTCTAATATAAGTTGCAGTTGATTTGTCTAGACTTATCAGAATATTCCTACCCATTTTTCCAGTGACTGATTTTGGATTGGATGAGTAACCTAATTTTGGTTTATAAATATGAGAAGTCTGTTAAGGGGTTTCTGGAAAAATTCCCTTGATTCGTAGAAAGGAGCAGAGTCAGTGAGGATCCCTTTTATTCCTAAGCATGTTGTTAGTTTTCTGTACAATTCCAGTAGCTACTGCCATTTTGCTATCACGCCTCTGAGGATGTCAACATCAAGAATAGAAGAGAGCTGAGAAATATGAAACCTGGGACCTTAAAGATAGTGCTCAATTTCTGTATCAACCAGTTCTAAAGTCTCCCCAATCTCTTCTTCCTAGTCAGCTTGTGCTTCTGTAACAAAATACAGAGACTAGGTGGCTCAAACAACAGAAATTTCTCACCTTTCTGGAGCCTGGGATGTCCAAGGTCGAGGTGCTGGTCTACTTTGTACCTGGTGAGGGCTTTCTTCATGGCCTGCAGATAGCTGACTTCTTGCTGCCTCACCAGGCTTTTCCTTGCTGTTTGAAAGCCATGACCGAGAAATAGGAACTCTTTCTCTCTTGCTCTTCTAATAGGACCACCAATTCTATTGGGTTAGGACTCCACCCTTATGATCTCATGTAATCTTAATTACCTGCTAAAATCCTTATATCTAAATACAATCACACTGGGATTAAGGCTTGAACCTATGAATTGGAGGAGACACCATTCAGTTCATAACAGATAACATACCAGGTGTCCTTATGTTGTTTAAACAAGTTTATTTTTTTTTTCTGTTACATACAGATGGACACACCCTGACAGATATAATATCTTATGAAGCAATATACAGGGGATAATGTCTAATTCCTAGCATATAACTTGAGAAAAATGAAGGCTATTTTCCTTTCCTCAGAACAAAGCAGTGTGGAGTTAAAAATGGTGAGTCCATTGCTGTTATAGGGCATTTCATGAACTGCTGATTGTACATATATGTGATATCATGTTAACATAAACAGTCCAGCTCTTAGGGAGTTTTAAGTTATAAAAGAAACATTTTTCTAAGATCATGTGCTCTGATAGAAAAACCACACTCCAGACTACTTTTATCATTATAAGGCTCTGGCAAGCCGAGAGACTTTAGTTGGTGATTTTATCAAGCAAGACTTCTAACTAATGGCTTGGTGAAACCATCACTGGGCCATAAAACACTATTACACATTGAAGCAATGATTTCTTTCAAGAGTTTAGTCATTTTAGGTCATTACAGTTTATTTATGAAAAATGGTATCTTGGGGAGACACCACAATCCTCCTACAAGTAAGAATATAGTCGTATTTCATTAATTAATTTATTTTTTGCCTAAAATTAATGTTTTATTTTTCTTGCAATTCAAATTTAATTTTTATAACTATCTTCAATAAAAAGGTGAAGGGTAGACAGATTTCATCGCATTCTAAGAAAGCTCTTGTGAAACATATTGCCTATCATTTTAGTTACACTGTATACCAAGTAATTTTACTCTATTTTTCCAGATGAAATGTAAATAAACAACAAAACTATGATGAAGTGAAGGATTTTCATAACACAGTAAAGTTCACTTTTATTTCTAGCCAGAGAAATGGAAAATTAGTACTTATCAAATTTTAAAAAGCCCAAGCCAAACAAACAGAAAGGAACTCCACCAAGAAACAGACAATGAGGGATACATTTGCATATACATGGATCCATATTAAAGCAATAGAACATGGGCCATTTTGAAATCTTAAACTTTCTGACACTATTTTCATGAACTCGGTAATACAAACCATGTGGTGAATGATTTTCTAAAAAACTTTGCTGGTTTCACTGTGTATTTTATGACTGGGCAAATGTGACATTAAATTTTATCCCCTGTGGCTTGGAGTTAAATGCTTGCTCTGTTCAGAATGGCAACACTCAATTAAACAGCATTTTTCATGATCTACACCCACCATTGTTACTGTATTTAAGGGAAATAATGGGGGTACTGACCTATATTGCGCTTCTTATTATCAATGGAGACGAAGCGTATGCAGGGATTACTGGTGATGTACTGCCCAGCCCAAGGGACGTCAATCTTCGTGCCAGCTTCATAAAAGAGGCCCAGAGCATAGCGAGAGGAGTAGCTCACAGACTCCAGTTGCTGCCTTTGGCATTTACTAATTACTGTGGAAGAAGAAATAAAGGGCATCAAACTTGAAAATATCATCTTTCCTTTCAATTCATTAAATACAGAATTTCTTTATACCAGTTCCAACTGTTTCCACTAACTCCAGCTTACTTACCATGAATTTTGAAAGGTAATGTTAAATAGCAGTGGCTCTAATTTCTTTTCAGAGTGATTACTAGTGTTGTTTTTATTAAGCTGAAGGTCCAAACTCTTTAGACTGGCAGTCAGGTTTCTCAAAATCTGGCTCTAATTTGTTTTTCTAGTTTGGTATCCTATTTATTGTCCTTTAACTGTTTCGTAACATTATAGATTTCATGTACTGAACACTTATTATGTGCTTGGTTTTTTGCTAAGTACTTGACACAGATTTTCATTCTATCGTAAGAGTCTTATAATGTGAGTATTATTTCTGTGTTACAGGTGAGGAGACTGATGCTTCCTTAGTTATGACCTTTTACATTTTCCATGTTATGTGGTAATTTCTTTGCCTGTTATTTTCCCACCAGTGGATCCTAATCCTTCCTTAAGCACAGGGAGACACCTTAGTCATCTTGGTTGTAGGCTGATTCCCTACTCATGACAGGCACAATAATTAAGCCATAAAGGGATAGAAAGTTAAATACAGTCATGCAAAATGACTTGAAATGTAAGAGGTAAACAATCAATAAATGTCAAAGGTCTGGAAAAGGAATTGGACAGGTTGGGTTCAAATCCTGACTCTGCCAGTTACCAGGAATGTGATGCTGCTTAAGCTACTTAATTTCTCTGATTATAGTTCTCTAGTTTGTAAGTGGCAATATTAATACAAAATGTATTAGTCTGTTGTAAGGATGACATGAAATAATACACAGTACAGTGCCTGGCATGTAACAGGTGTTCATTAAGTGGTAACTAGAATAGACAGAAAAATATTTAGGAAAACGAGGCAGCATTCCATCCTGGGATTGTGAAGGAAGAGATTTCTCCCAGTTGTTAATTTCCATCTCCAATCCCAATCTCAGTGAATGGCTTATTCATAAATGTATAGTCTTAATAATCTGAGTTTCAGAGAGGCCATAGTTCTATTCTGAACGGTTAGGCAAGCTAGTTTAGATAAAGAACACATGGAAAAATCTTACTTAATAAGTGACAGATATCCTAGTTAGGGATAAGCAGATCTCAAGAGTGGGTGGCAACAGTAGTTAAACCTTGGAGAAGCAACTTCAGGTATAGAGAGAGGCAGGAAGGATATTCCATGAATTATTTAAGCATAGTAATAATTCTATAAACTATTACAACTACAAATATTTTTAGAATCTGGCTACCAAACATTTTCAGAATTATTGAAATTGGAGTTTTGAGATGACACTAGACTCCTCACTTGGCCAATTTCCTCTGGGTTCTTGTCTTGCAAATTTTGAAGAATAAAATCTATGGCCAATCATGGAAAGGAAGAGTAAACACAGTAGGATTTCTTTAAGTGAGAAGAGATAGAATTCCAACCTTGCAGGAAGGGTCCTGATAACAAAACACAACAAAACAAAAACCCTTTTGGTGTGCTAGCTTAGGATTTACATATGATTCTGGGTAGAGCATGCAGCAAAATCTATGTAAAACAGGCATTGAAAACAGCACCAAAATCATTGATTAAAATCTATGTAAAACAGGCATTGAAAATAACACCAAGATTCACAGATCCAAGTCTATGTAAAACAGGTATTATGAACAGCTTCAAAATCACGGATTAGATCAAAGTCTGCTGTAAAATAGGCATTGTGAAAATAGCACCACGGCTATCTCACCTTTGAGTTTTAATTCTTCTATCAACTTCTGTCTGGGTTCCGCCCCCCCCCCCCCACCCCCCCCCCCTCCC